TCCTAATATAGAAATCTATCCTCCTCCCTTGACACCTTTACCCAGTCATGGCTCTATACATGTGTAGCTCATGACAATCTAAGCCCAATCATGACCCTATATAAGGTTGGCTCATAACACTACGGCTGTGAAGACCATTTCTTGGAGCTCGATACAGTCAATCACGCATAGGTTCCCTTTTTTCTATATTATTATTTATGGGTTTTTTCTTCAAAGATTGATGGAATTTTATTTTTGTTTGTGATGTTCTTAGGACTCGGATTGTCAGTCCTTTGTTGGTTATTTAGAATTGAGTTGAAATACGTTGCTAGTTTTTTGCCAAATTTATTGTATGTAAACTGAAACATGTTGGTGTTTTTAATTTTGGAAAGTACCCCTTTTTATTCTAGAGGATAATTATTGGTAGATACACTGACCCAAAGAATTCTTTAGTTGGTGTTCTAGTCTTGCAGTTGCAGGTGGTGATACTTTGCAGGGGTTATTTGTTTGCAGGTGGAAGTGCTCGAAGTAAATACTGCTTGGTGATCGGACGGATGGCATATCGTGCAGCATAGGAATGCCTATTATTAAAGGATCAGAGCGTTATAAATGTCAAGTTTTGTGTTTTAACCGGAAAATTGTCATAATACGGCCAAAGATGTGGCTTGCAAATGATGGCAATTACAGGGAGCTTCGATGGTTTACAACATGGAAGCAAAAGGACCAGCTTGTAGAATTTCAGCGCCCACCTGAAGTTTCTGAGACCTTGTCACAGACACCAGTGCCTTTTGGTTATGGATACATTCAGTTTTTGGACACGTAAGCATAACATTGCTGATCAGCTTTTTTTAATTTGCTATTATGTTTCCGTCTTAGCCCATATTGATGTCTTAACTGGATTACCTATTGATTAGGCATTATTCACTTATCCCATATATCATCAAAAGGGTCATGTCCCTCCATGTAATATGCAAATGTAACATCATATGCCAGTAGGTTATACTGCATGTCATAAGAAACTTACTCTTGGTTTCTTTATGAGATGCTAATAGTTTAAGCTGTTTTATTCCTTGTTAGAGCTGTTGCGGCTGAAACTTGTGAAGAGCTTTTTACTCCTGTTCCTTCCCATACTGAGCTTGCATTGAATGGAGTAGAAGTTTTCCTGAATGCCAGTGGAAGTCACCACCAGTTGAGAAAGTTAGACCTTCGACTTCGAGCTTTTATAGGTGCTACTCATATACGTGGAGGGGTTTACATGTACAGTAACCACCAGGGCTGTGATGGTGGTTGGTTGTATTATGGTAAATAACATGCATTTAGTACACTATACATTTGTTTAATTTTATTATTTTTTCCCACTTTTTAAGTGGTGGTAATGTTACTCTAGGCTTCAGCATAGTATTCGCTGGCTATATATTATAGTAGTATGCTTGCTTTGGTTTTGCCTTTATCTTTTCTACTCCATTAGAAAATGTTGTCTTTCATGGCAAAGATATTGTTTGATTTATTGAGTATTAATTTATTTATTTGGTGTTGCTGTGTTGTTGTGAATGGAGAAGTTGTTGCTCAACGCTCACAGTTCTCCTTGAAAGACGATGAGGTTGCGGTTGCTCAAGTAGATTTAGATGCAATATGTTATAACTTGCACTCCTTCATTATGTGTATGTTTGGTATTCAGAAAGTTCCCTTTATTGAAAGCTTGAGTGCTATTAGTAAACAATTATGTCATATTAAGGTTTGATGCAGAAAAGAGAAGAACAAAAATATGATTTCCAGTATGAGACTTCTCCCACAAGAAGTCTGATAAAGAATTAATATGGAGGCAATTATTGAAGACTTAACTACTATTATTGCCTAATAGTCACAAATAAGATTCTATTTATACAAATTAATGGCAACTTATGGTTCCCCATATTTTATAATGTTATTATGCATATAAAAAGTCTTATTAAAATTCTGGCATTTCTTTGTTAATGACAGGTTGCTAGTTTAAGAGGATCTATAAGTAGTTTTCAAGAACAAGCAAGTTGCAAAACCAGAGTATTATCAGTACCTTACAATATTTGTCGACCTGTTAATCTGAAAATGTTACTTTCCAATTCACAGAAGGTTCGTTCTTGGTCAGAAAACATTGTTGTAAGCATCAAAATATTTCCAGTATCACCCATTGCTTATTCCCTAATTGCACTATTAATGAATTGTAGATAATGTATCATTCTCCCGAGGAAGAAATAGCATTTGGTCCTGGCTGCTGGCTATGGGACTATTTGAGAAGAAGTGGAGCTTCTGGGTTTTTGCTTCCTCTTTCTGGTGGTGCAGACAGTTCCTCTGTAGCTGCTATAGTTGGATGCATGTGCCAACTTGTTGTTAAAGGTTAGAATTAGGATTTCAGAGTATCTTACTGTTTACTAGCACTGCAGCTGTTCTGCATTTATTTAGCAGTTAAGAACTTCTGTTCCCCAAGAAAAATCTTTTCTGTCATTAAAAACCTGAGCAACAAGTCTTCTGCAGAATATTTTCTGTTAATAATTAATTTTGTGCATGCATATTATGTTTCAGAAATTGAAAATGGTGATGAACAAGTTAAAGCTGATGCAATACAGATTGGGAATTAAACTGATGGGCAGTTTCCAACTGACAGCAAGGAATTTGCTAGACTCATATTTTATACAGTCTTCATGGGTTCTGAAAATAGGTGAGTTCACAGCATGGATCCATTTCTCCTCTTTCTGCAAGCTAGTTGTAACTTTGTTGTGCTGGTACCATCTATGGTGCGAAGTATTGCAGAAAATGAGCATTACAGTTTATAAGAAAATTACTTAATCAAGTATGAATGATCATTTGGCACTTGATATGAACTGTTATAGTTCTAGTAACTCTCCTTTCTGGTTGCTCTTCAAGAAATTTGTGACCTACTATCCCGTTGTTATGTCTTCAGAATGATTTTTTTTTTTACTAGAAATTTAAGGAAAGCCATGCCATCTGCATGTTTGCTGTCAAGAATAGTAGCACATCCTGAAAAGGTTTTTCAATTTTCTAGGACAATTCAAGTTCTTTAGAGAATTTGATGTATTAATAAGTAGTACATAGTACATAGCACCTAAAAAAAATTTTTTTTTTTCAGTTTAAGTTGATTGTTCTGCTTAAGGAAGATATTTTCTGTTTCAAATTGATTGCAGCATTACATTCTTGAAATCTCACTGTCTATTTTTAAGAGGGGTTGTTTTTATTGCAGTTCTGAAGCTACAAAGATGCGGGCTAAGGTATTAGCAGATGAGATTGGTTCATGGCATCTTGACGTTTGCATGGATGGTGTTATTTCATCTCTGATATCCTTGTTTCAGATGCTTACTGGAAAACGACCACGCTATAAGGTTAACTTTGTGATGAAAAGTTATTTTCTTATTTCCTCGACAGGGTCAACAGGCCCAGCAGATGCCATAGCCATTCTGTGGTATCTTTAGGCACAACTTATGCATTTTGTCCATGAGTACCAAAATATAAAGATAAGAGTTTATAAACATTATTGCGCAACAATCAGCTCTTGTAAATGTCCTTTGTCTCTCTTCTTGAAGAAATATAATGTCAGAAAATTATTCTTTATCCTTTGACCTAGTGTGCCTGAAATGATTAATTTCCATTTTGCAGGTTGATGGGGGATCCAATGTTGAGAACTTGGGATTGCAGAACATTCAAGCTCGAATCAGAATGGTGCTAGCTTCTAGGTTGGCGTCATTGTTGCCTTGGGTTCACAATAAAAAATGGGTTTTATCTTGTCTTACGTCGCTCTAATGTGGATGAAGCATTGCGTGGTTACCTAACAAAGGTCTATACCTTGTTCTTTTCTTGTCCACCTAATTAGGTATATGTAATCGGTGTTAAATTCTCGTCATTTCTAGCCTATAATTATCACAGCTAATAATTCTCTTGCAGGATCAGCTTTTAATATCTTTTACAGTATGAGTGCAGCTCAGCAGATATAAACCCAATTGGTAGTATTAGCTAGCAAGATCTTCGAACATTTTTGTGATGGGCTGCCAACCATCTTGGTTACTCATCCTTGGCAGAAATCAAAGCAGCTCCACCCCCTGCTGAATGGAGCCTGTTCGATCTAACTACAGCCAGGTATAACCTCATGAATATATTGAAGTTCTTAAAGGCATTGTGATTTTCCTTTTGGCTTTTTTACTAAAAAAAAAAAAGAATCAAGTTTAAAAGAAAGAAGATTTAACTCTGTATTCTTCATGAAACAGCTGGATGAAGTGGACATGGAAATGACAAATGAGGGGCTATCAGTCTATGGGAGGATGCAGAAAATTTTCCACCGTGGTCCAGTATCAATGTTCAAGGTTTGATTGTTGAATTACTCCTCTCTCTACCATATAGCATTCAATATAGGATTGTTTCAAAAATATGAGATGGCACAGTCATAATTATTTGCTTTATTGCAGATTCTCTTTTAATTTTCTGGTATTTTCTTATTTGTTGTAGAATTTTTGCTGTAAATGACGTGCAACATTAACTCCATCAGAGGTGGCTGATAAAGTAAAACACTTCTTCAAGTACTATTCCATTAACCGACACAAAATGACCGTATTAACACCTTCATATCATGCTGAGGTATGTCAACTTCAAAGGCATTGATAACTTTTAGAGTTTCAAAGTCTCAGTTTAATGGCAATATTTTCCGTATTCCTTCCTGCAGAGTTATTCACCAGAGGATAATAGGTTTGATCTCCATCAGTTCCTTTACAATGCAAGATGGCCATATCAGTTTCGCAAGATTGATGAACTTGTGCAAGAGCTAGATGGTGACAAAGTTGCTTTTAAGGAATCAGGAGACCATGAAAAATTGGGTGCTACAGCAGGTGTTGGTGGAATGGGAGTTGTGGCTGCTGCCTCTAGCGATCCTAAAGCTGGCCTTTAATATAACATTGCCCCCATTTTCTACTTTACAGACAGGATTCGCCCTACTTCCGTTTCTATTTTATATTTGTCCAGTTAAAGAAATTGTAATAAACTTATCCAAATTCAACCCAATTTTGTATATTCTTTTACTGATTTTAATGAAACATGTCAAAGATGTGTAAAACAATAAATTTTCACAATAAAAGTTGAAAAATTGAAGTGTACAAAACATAAATTTTACCGGATTGCTTTTTCTTTTCGAGGATCCTTTAAACATAAGATTTTTCTGAGTTAAAACTCACCTGGGCTCAAGAAGCACGGAAATTAGAAAAGAGTTTTGACATAATAGAGCAAAATAGAAAGTAATGAAAACAAAAGATCCATGGCAATGTCTCTTCACCCAAAAAGCAAGCGAAGAAAGGGGGATATTTCCCCCTATAACTTCTACCATGAGAAAAATTACAGTATCCTCATCTCACCTACCCTACGCTCTCATCTTTTCTCACCCCTGTTTGTTCAGCAGCAGCAGCAGCAATCAAATATAATTAGAGGGTTTTAGAGTTCGTCGTGTGAATCATCCTCTTCAGTTGATCCACCACCAGGGGCTCCACCAGTTCTTTGGTATACAGCCGTAATGATAGGGTTGCATACAGCCTCAACCTCCTTGAGCTTCTCCTCGTAGTCTTCCTTCTCAGCACTCTGGTTGTCATCAAGCCATTCAAGGGCCTCCTTCACGGCAGTTTCGATCTTCTCCTTCTCATCAGATTCAAGCTTGTCAGCGAGCTTATCCTTGTCATTGATCTGGTTTTTCATGTTGTAGACATAGGTCTCCAAGCTGTTGCGAGCATCAATTTTTTCCTTCACCTTCTTGTCCTCCTCTGCAAATTCTTCTGCTTCTCGAACCATTCTGTCAATCTCCTCCTGGCTCAGTCGACCCTTATCGTTGGTGATAGTGATCTTCTCTGATTTACCAGTGCCCTTATCTTCTGCCTTAACATTTAGAATACCATTTGCATCAACTTCAAATGTAACTTCAATTTGAGGGGTTCCCCTGTGCAATTGAGGGATCATACAGTCAGTAAATTCAGGCGAAGTTTAGCAAACAACATAAAAGAGAATTGATAAGAGGAGAGAGCAAACCTTGGAGCAGGAGGAATTCCAGTAAGATCAAATTTCCCAAGCAACCTACAATCCTTTGTGAGACTCCTTTCACCTTCAAAGACCTGGCATCAAACCACAGCAAATCAAGTAAGGTTCAAAGAATTCCAGTTCTTAGCATCAACCAAAAAATCTAGCTCTCAAGCATTTAACCAGCATCGAGCATTAGTAAGTTTTAATGACAAGCCTGTACAAATTACCTGAATGGAGACGGTGGTCTGCTGGTCCTGATAAGTGGTGAAAACTTGAGACTTCTTGGTTGGGATAACAGTGTTTCTGGGAATCAACTTGGTCATGACCCCACCAACAGTCTCAATACCAAGGGTAAGTGGAGCCACATCAAGGAGAAGAATATCTGTGCATAAAGCATTACACAAAAATATCAGCCATAGTTAATTCAATTAAAAAGAATAGTTTCATCAGCTATAGTCCTGTATAGTTATAATAGACAAATTACAGGAGATGAAATGTACCTTTGGTTTCATCACCACCCTCTCCACTCAAGATGCCTCCTTGTACTGCAGCACCGAAAGCAACCGCTTCATCTGGATTAACACCCTTGTTGGGCTCCTTCCCATCAAAGTAGTCCTTAAGGAGTTGTTGAACCTTTGGAATTCTAGTGCTTCCACCAACAAGAACAATCTCATCGATTTGATGCTTCTCCAAACCAGCATCTTCCATTGCCTTCTTCACAGGTCCCATGGTCTTTCTGAACAGGTCATTGTTCAACTCCTCAAAGCGAGCCCTGGTCAGTGGCTCAGAGAAATCTATACCATCAAAAAGTGATTCAATCTCCACACGGACCTGGTGCTGGCTGCTAAGAGCTCTCTTGGCACGCTCAGCTTCCCTCCTAAGCTTCCCAAGAGCTCTATTGTCCTTGCTGATATCTTTTCCATGCTTTTTCTTGATCAATTTAATAAAGTACTCCATAACCCTCTGGTCAAAATCCTCACCTGCAAGAAAAATGACCATAAGCAAAAATCCACAAGAAAAAAGCAATTTTTAAAAGCTTAATAGCAAACAAGAAAGATGCTTACCTCCCAAATGAGTGTCTCCATTTGTGGAAAGAACCTCAAACACACCATTGTCTATTGTCAAGATACTGACATCAAATGTACCACCACCAAGGTCAAAGACAAGAATGTTTTTCTCTCCACCCTTCTTGTCCAAACCATAGGCAATGGCAGCTGCAGTTGGTTCATTGATAATTCTTGCCACATTGAGCCCAGCAATAATGCCTGCATCCTTGGTGGCCTGCCTCTGGGCATCATTGAAGTAAGCTGCAAATCAAACAAAAAGATAATTTGAGCATGATCAAGGATCAGAAAAACAGAACTTTTTTTCCAACAGAGGACATTGTTTCTTATGATGCACTCACCTGGAACAGTGACCACTGCATCCTTGATTTTCTTCCCAAGGAAAGCTTCGGCTGTTTCCTTCATCTTAGTCAAAACCATAGCACTGATCTCCTCAGGACTGAAGACCTTGGTCTCTCCATCCTTAATCTTTACTTGAATATAAGGTTTTCCATCCTTGTTCACAATCTTATATGGAACAAGTTTCATGTCCCTCTGGACCTCCTTATCCTCAAACCTGCAAAAGAACAAAAGCAACCCATTAACCATTATTTCCCAATCAACACCTAAAAGTAAAACAAGATACATGAGAAGAATGTGAATTACTTTCTGCCAATAAGTCTCTTGACATCAAAGATGGTTCTCTCTGCGTTAACGGCTGCCTGATTCTTAGCAGCCTCACCAATCAGCCTCTCGCTGTCAGTGAAAGCCACCCATGATGGTGTAATACGGTTTCCTTGGTCATTAGCTATAATTTCAACATGACCGTTCTTGTATACACCAACACAAGAATAAGTCGTACCAAGATCAATTCCAATGACTGTCCCCAATTTCGCGGCTTCCTCCTTTGCAATCGAAATTGCAAAGAGACATCCTGCATGCAGAGTTTACACAATGTTAATACCATTACAGAGGCCCTTTTAATAACTTTTTAAGATCATTTTTAAGTGCAATCATGATGTTTGGCCACGTGATTAAAACAAATTATCTATTGAATTAGAAATCAAATAGAACAATTAATAACATTCTAACGAACTTTCTAGTACATTCTCCTGCATAACGTTAATAATTATAAATAAATTAAGATATTGCACCGTAAATGGAAAAATAAAATAAAGTGAAACGCAAGATTGTCATTAATTAGATCATAATTCTAATCAAACTAATTAGCGAGTTATTCATTCTAAAAATCCAGAGATTTCTAGTCCTCGAATCGTTGGAGAGAAAATCAAAGGATATGAGATCACTGAAACTCCGATTTCACGATCTAATGCATCACTAGAACCGTAGAACCTAAATCAGATCCAAGCATGCATCGATTTACGAGTAAGAAAATCATCAACCAGAATCAGATCTACTACATTTCCTCTCAAACAGAGAAAGAATCAGAGATAACGAAATCACATGAAAACAAACAGATATAGAAAAAAATCAGGAACAGCACGGTACTCACCGGACAAGACTATCGCTAGAACCACCAAAGAGCCGCGTGCTCTCCACGAGCCAGCCATCTCGCGTCCTCAACTCTTATCTCTCTCTTTCTTCGGAGAAGTCTATGGGTTTTTTCTCTGAAAGTCGGATCGCTGTAACGAAACGAGTGTTTTCGACTGAGACTTTCTTTTATTTTTGGGAGCATTTTATACTTGAAGTGTCCGCAACCAACGCAAGTTTTCAGATGGGAGTAAAATGAGAGAACATGTCATCGATGGTGACGTGGACCAATAAGGTTTCGAGGACGGATTTATTGAGCCAATGAAATTAGATCTTGTGTTGGGGAGATCCTGGCCGTTTATTTTTCCCAGATGTTTGCGTGTCCGCTTCTCACTCGCTTGCTTTCCCGATTTAATTTATTAAAAATAGGATGACTAGAAGTCTTGTACCAGATTCAAAACTCGACAACACTGAGTCGTTTTTGCCCAGCCCAAATGAGAAAAAAAAATCAACGTGGGTTTTACCATGAAAAATGGCCTTACCATATCAATTTTTGGAACAAATTCTATCAAAATACATTGTCATAGAGTTTACTTCCAATTGTACACTTTTTTTTTTTTATTACTTCACTTATGGCCCATGGGGATTGGTAACATCCGCATGAAAATGGATGCACCCACCTCATGCATCTGTGACTGTCGGTTTCATTATTATAATTCCCAATAACTTTCATTCATTTGGTCAAAATGTGCTAATATGCCTTTGCTTTTTGATTTAACAACAAAGAAGTCTTAAAAAAAACCATGAAGATTTAGGTTCGAAGCAATCCATTCCTTCTCTCATCTCCATATTCTGTAAACCAACAAAAAATGTGCAAATATACTTTTTAACCTCTCCTAATTTTGTTTAGCTATCGATGGTTAAACTTGTGTCGCCAACTGAAACGAAATTATATTTGGAAGAACTGCGGTGCAATGAACAATGACGGATCCTTTAAGGAGCTTAGGGGTCATGACTCCTTCAAATATTTTGAATCTTTTTAATACACATGTGATTTTCATAATAATTTAAAAATTTTTTTAATAAAAAATTAGTTTGGTTCTCTCAAACTTAAAGTTTATTGTGTTGATATGTATATGTTATTTTTTATTTTATGTATTTATATTGAACATATAGTTACAAAAATTATTTGTATCTAAATATTATAACTCTTAATTTAAAAAAAATTACAATTCTTTAATTTGTGTTTATTTTTATAAATGATTTTTAATTTAAAATTAATAAATTTGTCTAACACTATATTTTCACAAATATGTAAATTTAAATTTAATATATATGCAAGTATTATAATAATTAAAACCGATTTGATAAATATTCAATTTTGATTTTTTTCAACCAAAATTTTTTATTATATGTATGCTCATTTTATTTAAAAATTATTACATGTCAAAATAATTAATATGATTAATTTAAATATCTTTTTATTTTTCATAATGTAAAAATACCATGTCAAAAATTAAAAGCTTTCAATTTATCATATCCAAGTATTTATTTTATTGTTTTAAAATTTAATTTTTATTTAAAAAAATATTTTTGAAATGTTTACATTTTAATACTTTAAATATTAAATATGATAAAATAATGTATTAATATTGTAAAAACATATAATTATTTTATTTTTATAAAAAATATTATTAGTGAGTTATAATTAAAAATTGTGAGATCAATTGTTAAAATTAAACTCAATATCCGCCAGTGACAATGAAGTTGGATGAGAAGGCTACTAAAAAAATTTTTGGGCTTTAACAGCAAAATGGGAGAGATGGTTTGTGGCTTCTTGTCCGACCGACCCACAAGCATCCTCTCCACTCTCCTGCATGGAAATTTTGTATGCTAAATTGCTATAGTAATACTCAAGAGACTGAAACTGAGGGGAAATTTGAGAGTAAATTTTTGACAAAACGTATTATGGTCTTGTTGATTACTATAAATTTACCCAAATAGAATGAGTATAACAGTTTACATTTGTTGGGAGATGAATGAAAAATGTTTTAACAAATGGTTGTTAAAAAAAATCAATTTATATTAGTATAAAACTTTTTAGTTTTATATTTTTTTAATTATTGATTTTAATAAATTCAAAAAATGAGATTAGACAATTTTTTTTGTTTATGATTTGTCTCTCATCTTATAGATTTATTAAAATCAATTATCAAAAAATATATATAAAACTAAAATTATTATATAAACAAAAGAGGATATTTTATAAATCAAATTTGCATGCGGAGGATTATATAAATCAAAGAGGATAAACCTAAACTGATTATATAAATTAAATGATTATAGAAAAAATATTTATTTAATTAAAGAGGATATTACAAACATATTTTTCTTTGAATTCATAACCTCCAAATGCTACTTCAAATAATATATCAACTAATCTAAATATTGGTCAACAGAGGACTCCCAATTTTTCATCAATTCTTTTAACATATTAGTATAAGATCAGAAAAAATAATTAGATCAGTTTACTTTATTATTTATAAATTGGGACAAATGATTTAAAATGATTATATAAATCAATATCACCAATAATAATAATTAAATGAAAAAAATGTATGAATCGATTAGTATTGTGATGCATGAATTCGGTTTAATTACTTAAAATTAATAAAATAGTTTATGAGTGGAATTATGTAATTAATCGAAATTGTTGATTAAAAATATAGCTAATAAAAATAATTCGAAAATGACATTTATTTGTTTTTTCTTAAACTTGAAACAAAATTTGATTTTGTTAAAAAATAATGTAAAAAGTGGTTATTCGGAAGAAAATATTTTAAATTAAAAAATTATTAAGTTAAACCTCTTTGTCAATGAGTGTTTTCAAAGAATTTCATTATTTGACTCAACATGCTTTTATAATATTACAGTATGTTGAATTATATAAATATGTTCATAAAAATTACATAAATATGCGAAAGAAATAATATTTATATAGAATATAAGGCTACAATTGGTTAATGAAAATATTTTTTGCTTTAATTTTTAATTTTTATTTTTTGAAAATATTTTTTATTTTTTATTTTTTGAAATTTAAAAAACATATTAATAAAAATTGAGAAAATGTGTTTCGTATGTGCATTTTCAAAATAAAAATTATAAAAATAATAATTAAATAATTAAGTAAATTGCATTTTTTTTCAAAAAAAAAAAGTAATTGAATAATAAAAGCAAATTGTAATTAAAATAAACAAGAAAAATTCAAATAAAAATCAATTCATAATGTTAAGAAAAAAATAAAATGCACTTTAATATTTGACAACTAACATCACCTCTTAATTGTTATAATTTTTGAATTCTCAATTTTGCCTATAACTATTCCATAAACATGTAGTAATTTGTTTCCTAACTTAAGCCATTTCAGTTGTTTGTGACATATCAAATGCAATTTGCTTATTGTTCGAATTAATAAAAGTTGCTTATGTGTTATAAAATTCTTGCATGTTTTCTCTTTCACCATTTTCTAACAATTCATCATTTTCAGCTTCCAACCTAATGAAATTATGCACATACGACATGTTTTTAGTATATGACGTTGTTTTCTAAGATGATAGTTGGCATATCCCTCAATATAGCAGATCTGTTTTTCAGCACTTCAATACTTTGTTCAATCACATTACAAACATAAGAATGCTTCATATTAAAAAATTCTTTCTTCCTTTTTGGTTGATACATGCTTATAAAGTCTCGTGTACGATATTTTTGTCCATGAAATGGTGCTAAAAATCCAGGTATGTATGGATATTCAACATCCACTACATAATATTTACCTAATATATCATAAGAAATATGAAACTACATAAACAACATTAACCAATTAAGTAGTTCTTGGAAATAATTATATCAATTAAAATGTACCAACATTCCCCATTGGAAAATAATTTTGTGTAGTAGAATTATTTATTACTGCATTAACAAAAACTCTTGTGTCATGAGCTATTCCCTCTTATCCAGCACACACAAATGTAAAAAGCATGTCATGAGAACAAGCTACCATTACATTTTATGACATATTTTGCTTTTTATTTTGAAATGGTACTTGCTTTGAAGTGGGAGCCCAAGCAAATATTCTAGTGCCATCAATAGCTCCAATACAATACTTAATTAATAAAAATAAATAAATATATAAATTATGTTCTTTTACATAAAAAAATAATTTTTTTAAAAAAATAAAAAATATATAAAAATAGTATTATATATAACACACCTTGAAAAGGTTTTTTAGCAATTTTTGGTTGAACTTCACCTCAATTTTTAGGATAAATAATCTTAGTTTCCAATTTACAAACAACAAAAACTTTTTCAAACTATGCAGAATAGTCTCAATTGAGTGTTCAAATCAATCACCCGTAAGTTGTTGCGTCTCATTTTTACCAATTATATATAAAAACATTGCAACTGCTTCTTTCACATAAACCAATTTTTTATCTTGTAAAAGATGTTTCATTTTTAACCAATCTTAAATTTTTTTTAAAAAAAACTTGTTTTCTCATACAAAACATTTCATAACATACCATAAGGTTTTCATCTAAATCTCTATAATATATGCCTTTCCATTTAATATAAAAGTCTTATATAGCATTTTAGTCAAGTTGGCCTTATAGCACTAATAAACAGAATTTATAAGTATAAATTGCCTCATTTCATTATCTAAATTTGACAAACTTTCTGAACTAAACTAATCCTCATTGTAATTACTTGGAAAAATGACGAATATCAATGTTCTCTTAATGTATTATACTTGCTGTAACAATTTCAGGTACTAGAACAAAATAGAAAAAAATTTATCAGTCATTCAATAACCATAAATTCCATAATATAATGATAAATTATCATCATATACTCCGTACATTCCACATTTGGATATTAGAATATTATTACATAACGTAAAAATAAAAGTCAATTATTGATAAGTAAAAAAAAAAATGAAGATTAAGCAAGACTATCCACCCAATCTTTTTGTTTCACATTGGACATTTCAACAAAAAATTCTCTTTATTTTGCTTATGTGAATTTTTCTATTACATTATTATAAGAACACGAAGAAACACCTTCTATTTTTTTCAAAAGACCTATGCATATATTTATAAAATAAGGATCAGATGAAAAATAAAAAATGATATTTCCACTACTAGTAG